GCATCAGGAATGGGCAGGCAGCTCTGCTCTGCGTTGTGGTGGTGGGAGCTCAGCAGGCAGGGAGAGCACGGCCTGTGTGCAGGCAGCCTCGTAGCACACTGGGGTGCTGTGCTGCAGCAACCTCTCTGCTTCTCCTCCTGTGAATATACAATAATTGTATATGATATATTCAATTAAAGTGACTAATGACCTTGTAACCTGAAACACTTTACAGGGACTTGTCCTTCAGGACTGGAATGTCTGTAGGTTGAAAATTGGTCTCTCCAAGGTGTGTAAAAGCTGTCTGTCGTTCTCAAGGCACTTTGACTCTGGAGTCCAGGTTCAGGAAGGCTCCTGCTCTGGTTGAGAAGGGCTGGGCAGCTGTCCTTCCTGCAGAGGCTGCTGTTTCATTAGCAGGCCCCTTCTTACTGAAATGAGCCAGTCCACATTTGTGTGGTGCAGCTCTAATTGAGCAGGAAGCAGGCCCTCTCCCAGCAGTTGCATTGCAGTTGGGAGTGAGTGGCTTTTTCAGGACAGCAGGTCCATGGTCACTTTGTTCTTTGAAGCAACTGTGCTAAGAGAATGTTGTTTCCTTTTCCTGCAGACTCCTGAAGACGTCCTCATTTCAAGCAAAAGTGTACAAGCTGCCAGCCCTCCTGCACAGCACTTGCCTCCTCCTGAGCAGCAGGCAGGGAACAGTGAAGGTAACTTTGAGTCAGTTTTGCTTTTCTTGTGTGAAGCCCCAAAGACACACAGCCCGAGGAGTCAGCATGAGGGTTGGTGGATACTCTGGGACTTGTGTTGAAACAAAACCACCTCTGATCAGACAAGGTATTTTTTTCAGGTAAACTTTAGATCTCCTGAAGAGGTGAGACATGCAATTAGATAAGCAAGGACACCTTGTAAACATGTGCAAGCCATGAGACAAATGCTGGCCTGTCCAACTCCAGGCTGCACGATGAGTAAGCGAGGGCGCTTTGAAAGGAGATTGCTCTTACAGCTGAAGTCTTCCACATGGCATATTGTTCTGTTAAAGTGCCTTGACTTCCCTTTCCCCTGGGTTTATATTATCTCAGGATTTACAGGTCCTGTTTATTTACTGTGCCTCAAAGCAAGGAGAGGGAGAGATTTGGGGTTTTTGTTTCCCCTGTGGGAACTGTAGGATCTGATAAGCAGCTGTAGCTGGAGTGAAGAGTATCTGGAGGACTTTTGGTGAAACAGGTCGTGCCTGTTCAGAAGGGTCTGTACAGGATGTGTACTACAGCACACTGCCCTGTCTGCCTGTGCCACACTGATGTTCCAGGTAGCCATCTGGGCTTCTGGTTTCCCAGCTTGGTTATGTGCCATACAAGAGCTGGAGACAAGAACCGGAGCCCCGCGGGGTGCCTTGCACACGGTGCCAACTACGGGTTTCTTTACAGGAAGCTGTGTAAATCCAAACAGCGAACGCCAGAATCAGAACCAGGAACAACCACCCTGTGCCAAGTCCCAGGAGAATCCCTCACGTGTCTGGTACGAGACGTTTGCAAGGAGGAGGAATGAGCCAGTGGTCTGGAAGGACTCAGGCCTGGCTTTTTAAGTAATCTGTTTAAAAGCTTTGGTCTTTGTTTCCCTGCCTTTCCCAGGCCCCTTCCAGTGTAGTTTTGAAATCTTCTTTGGCCAAATCTTGTCCTGGGAGAACCTTGTGACTTCTTGAGCCATGTTTGAGACTGGCCGAGGTCTGGTTTGGGAAGCAGACACCTGAGTTCATGCACAAAGCAGCACAAGTGACTAAGACAGCACAGTTATCTCTCAGCTTAGGCGGGGCTCCGAGCGGTTCGGTGCGGGAGCGGTTTCCGAAGGCAATGCGAGTGGTGACTGACCTGTTTATTTTTATCTTGTGCAAGTGTCTGGAATACCTGACTTGTTTCCTCAGTACTTGTGTTACTGGTGTTTCACGTGAGATTCCAGCTGCTTTTAGTTTTGCCCTCAGTCTCCTGCCCTGGTTTTGCTGGGGTGAATTTGCTGTGGATAATGGACAGGAAGGGGAATAACAGTAACCTCTGTTCTTGTGTGGATGCTCAGCAGGGTGCAATGGGTCAGGATCTGCAGTCTTCCTCAGGGCTGCTGCTGTGTTGGGCCCTGATTGTGCAGGGAAGCAGTCCACCCTATTTTTCCTTGGAATTAGGGGATGCAAGTGAAGTAATTTTTGACACAGGTAAATCTGTGAGTGTCCCAAGTATTTATAAGCCACGTGAAACCCTGCCAGTGAGGGGAGCTGGGCTGTCCAGCTGCAAACACACAGCGGTTATGTCTGTCTTCTGCTATTAATACCAGATAGAAAAAAGAGTTCTTGCACACTGGGCCTCAGAGTGGAGAATGAGAGTCAGAGCGAGTGTGGTGTTGTACATCACTGCTCTGGAACCCAGGTGTTCCCCCAGCAAGCTCTCTCCTGCTTTTCCTGTCCTTGTTCATGAAGGGATGGTGTGCCTGCCACAGGGCTGAGTTCACAGGAGGCCCGTGTCCTCTGGTGGCAGTGAACAGGCAGAGGGAAGCATGTAATGGCAAGGAAATGCTTCTGGTAAGACTGGGGAGCACGACGGTCACCTAATGTGCCTCTTGGTATTACCATCAGGACCAGAAGCTATAAACAAGCAATGAGTGTTGTATGGAATGGGCAGCAGCTGGGGGGTCAAACCCTTTCCCCTTTGGATGACAAGCACAAGAACTCAGCAAACCAGACTCCACCTTCTTCCTCTCCAGCTAGCAAGGTGAGTAGGTGCCATGGCCCTTCTCTGCCTCCCTTTCCCTGGCAAGTACTAACTTCCCTCCATCTTCTCCTCTTAGGTTGTTAGACCGTTGAAGAACTTCCTGCAGGCTGTGCAGCGAAACCAGCTGCTTATGAGCCCAGGGCCCACGGGGCATGGGGGTGTCATGAAGAACTTCATCAAACGCAATACTCCCACCCGACCCGCTCTTAAGGTGTGTTAGGGTCCCACCTGCCCTGGCAGGGCTGGAGGAGGGGGTCAAGTTTGGGGGAGTGGCAGAAGAGACAGTTTGCTTAGAAAAGCATAAACATGTTCCTAGTTCTGTTTACTACCATGGATCAGGGCAGGTCCTTGTAGCAAACTGGCCTCACAATTCCACTTCAGCCCCTCCAGGGAAGGGAAACTGGTTGATGTTGCCTTGTGTCGTCTGTCCACGCACACTGGTATTGACTGGGGGTCTTTAGGATCAATCCTCAAACCTTCCTCAGATGCAGAGGAATCTCAGCTGCTCTGTCTGTAGTCAGCAGACACATTTTATACTCTGGGACTGTGGAACTGTAGGAAAGTGGAAAGCTTTTCTCTTTGTGGTGGGAATCTGCCCCTTGTGTCTTGAAAGCCAGGCAGTGTGGGGTCAGGCAACAGCTTCTCTACCACCTCGTGGTAAGGAGCTGCAGCGAAGAGCAGGGTGTGTGTGCCATGAAGGGGGTGCTAGTGTTAGTTCCAAACCTGTAATAATATTTTTTTAATGTCTCTTCTCTACAGGGAGACTTTGTTGTAAGTAATGACACCCTTAACCATGGGGACTGGAAGATTGTAACGGCTGTGCTTCTTGCCTCATGGGCACTGACACCTCCTTCCCCTCACGCTGGCATCCCTGCAGCTCTCTGGCCAGATGGGTAAACTGGCCACACCAGTGGTGAGGTGGTAGGATCTCTGCAGGTGTGTTCTGCTGGGGCTGGGAACTGCAAGGAAACCTTTTGGCCTCTAAACACTTGTGCTGTGCTCCTTCTCCCCCATTCTCCCAGCTGCTGGTGTAGGTAACACTGTCCAAGGCAAGGAGCATTTGCTGCAGGTGGTCACCTACAGCAGGAGTCTGCTGGTCTGTGCGTAAACATCCTCTACAACTGAAGGACCGAGGTGTTTCCCTCCTGTACCCGTGACTCTTCTGCTCTTATTAGTTGGATAAGTGCTGTTGCCAAACCTGCGTTGTTTCTTCCCTACTATTCACTTCCCATCCTGGTGTGTGGGTGCACATGACTCTGACAGTGACTTCTTTGTTGAGCAGGCTGCCTAGCCTCCAGCTGCCTGCGCACAGGTAGCCTGGGGGTAGAGACAGGCCCCAGCAATCGGTACAGTCTGAACTCATCTCCCTTCAGGAGAAGGAGCGGCAGAGACTGGAAAGCCTCAGGAAGAAGCAGGAGGCTGAGGAACAGAGGAGAAAGAAAGTGGAGGAGGAAAAGAGACGGCGGCAAGCAGAAATGAAGCAGTGAGTTGGTTCCCTTCCCTCCTGCTCCTTCCCTGGTTCAGCACAGAATTGCCTTTGGAGGCCTTCCCTGCCAGGCAGACAGCGCTGCCGTACTGTGCTTCCCGCCTCCCACTCGGAAGGAGCGTTTAGCAAGTGATGCTGCCTGGGCACCCTGAGTCTTGCTGCTCATGGCTTCTGGCAGTAAAACTGACTGTGCTGGTGCAAAGCCTCTGCCAATGTCTGAACTTAATCCAGAAGTGAGCTGAGGCTAAGCTCAGCCAAAGTCAGTCAAACAAAATAACCATTTTCCCCAATTCCCATGGCAAGTCCCTGTTTCCCCACCGCCCTCTCTGCTGGACCAGATAGAGCTAACAAGCCCCTCTTGCACACACGCTGTCCAGGAAGAGGGATTTTTTTTTGGAAGGCACTGCAGGCTCGGGAGCGGGTGGAACAAATGGAAGAAGAGAAGAAAAAGCGGATGGAGCAGAAGATTTTACAGAATGATGAGAAGGTAAGAAGACTGACCAAGTTTTGGACTACTCAGCAGAGTGACATTATTCCTGTGAGCTGTGAGACCAAGAGGGTGCTGCAAAGAGGTTCTTGGGATGATAGGTGCACGCAGAGGGTTGCTGCTGAGGGTGACTAATCAGGTGGTGGGTAAGTCTGCATCAGAGACACTGAAATTCTCTAAGAGGAGGCTTTTGTTCTCCATACCTCTGCAGTGGTTCTGCACATTCCTGTTCCAACACGCAGTGTTTATGGTGCTCTGTGCTCAAGGAATGCAGCAGCATCCCTTGTCTGTTCTGTGAGCAGGCCCTGCAGATGAGACAGCCTTACTCGGCTTGCAGCACGCTCAGAGCGAGCTGTTCACACCAAACATTGCCGACGGCAAAGCCACAGCACTTGCAGGGAGTCACAAAGATGTGGTGGGAAAGAAGAGCCACTGAGCATGCAGGGGATGCTCATGCCTTGGCTCTGTGTGTACTTGTGTCATGTTTGGTTTTTTAAAGCCATGTCTGGCCCTGTTTGGAGGACAGGTAAGATGAAGAGTGTCCCAGGATGGGCTGGTGATGGCTGCCTGCAGTGTTGCTGCTTTTGTACAACCGTGCAGGTTGAGGGAGGCTGTGCCTGACTGACCTGGGGTCCGAGCAGCTGCTGGGAGCAGGCTGGTTGCTCCTTTTGGGGGGTTGGACTAAAGTGACCTTTGGAAAGGTTCAGTCTTAAAAAACAAAGGAATTGTGCTCCTTTCAGCCTTTCCCAAAACCTGGGCAGCCAAAAGTGTAGCCAGCCCTGGCTGGTCTGCTGCTGTGGAAGTGCCAGTGCTTCTACTGGGACAGCCAGCTCAGGCGAAGGAACCGTTCTCTGGGGCTCACTCAGCTTCCAGATCCCCAGCTTATGCTGCAGTTCAGTGGGTTGACAGCAGCACCACAGGCAAAGTGGAAACCAGATGCTGGATCCCCTTATTCTGCAGAGAATCACAAGGTGGAAGCCTGTATTTTGGGGTTGTGCAGTGGTCTCTGTGCTTTTCTCCTGTTGCTCCAAGTGATGAGTGTCCCTTCTGTGGTAACTGCTGGACTTGCTGCGTGAGCTTGGCGCTAAGTCCACTGCTCGTGTGCCTCTTGCTGGGTGTTGGGTTCTCGGTCTCATTAGGACCTGGAACATCCCAGGTTTCAGAAGCAGTCTCCGTCCTCTGCTTGGACCAGGCTGTGAAGTGTGTCCTCGGGGGCAGCAGAGCTGACGTGCGTGGCTTTCCCAGGTTCGCCTCTCGCAAGTGCGGGAAGAGAAAGCGGCAGAGGAGCGGAGCAAAAAAAAATTGTCGAGGAAGCCCGGGGAAGCTGATGCGTGGAAGCAGAAAGCACCAAGTGTGGTAAGAGCGGCTCTAGGTCTGTCCTGCCTGTAGAAAAGGAAAGGGGTAGCAGGGAACCCGTGCTCTGCTCTGACTGGTGGGACAGGGAGGGGTTACTGCCTCTCCTGCTGCAGGGATTTTGGGGTGTGTGCTGCAAGGTTTCTGTCTAGACAGTTGATGTTGGGTTTGAACACAAGGGTATCTGTGGGGACAGAAAGCAGAGACCACCCAACTGGTGGGCAGGCTGTGGAAGGTGAGAGTGAGGTACAACACGCACAGGTTGTTTCAAAGCATTTGTTTCATATCCTCCTGCCTTTCCCCGCTTGAGCTGGCGGGTTACAAGGGTTTTCTTCTTCAGGAGGAAGATGAATTTGAGCAGCAAGAACCACTGCAGAAAAGAAGAGAGGATGAAATGAAAGAAAAAGGAAAGAAAGTCTTGGAACTGAAAAAGCTTGTAGAGCAGCAACAGGTGGAACAAGTGAAGGAGAGGTATTGGCTTGTTTCTGTCCTGGAGGAGGAGACTTGGCAACAGGCACGGTGAAGCAGTAAATATAAATAATATTGCTGAAGCTGGGAGACTGGTGGGAGTGTCAGGATGTCCCAAAGGTTTGGGGTGCTGAAGCAAGAGGCTAGAAGAATGGTTGGTGGGTGGGAGGTGGAGATGCTTTCTTCTATAACCAGATCATATGTTATTTCCCCAGGGGTCACAAACAGCGAGGGAAATAGAAGGGCCCCCAGTCACCGCTGGAGTCAGCAGTGTTTACTGAAAAAAACATAAAGGTGGGGAGTTGAAGTGGTCTTGGAACAACTTCTCTGCTGTAAACTAGTGAGGATAAACAGAATTATTTTAAGATCAGACTAGTTTTCCAAGTGCTGTGTTACTATTTAAGATTTTAACATTCACTGTTACGTTATTTAGAGGAACAAATACAATAAAACCGATGATGAGCCAAACATATTATTGTAAGGAGTTGGGGTTTGTGCAAGAAAAAACCAACTCTGTTGCTAAAGTTGGGGTTGACTGTTTTCTTGTTAACTGGTGAGCTTTCCAGCCTCATCACAAGGCGGATGACAGCCATACAATGGCACTTTGAAGAACACCTCCAAATAGCATTCACTGAAACTAAAATAAATATGGAAATTAGAAAGAGAATTTTTTTTTCTATTACACTCACTCACTGTGTTTGGAGGGTGTGATTCCCCATAACAAACTTCAGGTATCATATGGCTTCATGTAACGTTTGCATTTATACAAGGAACGTTATGGCTTAAAGTCAAGTCTGTTTGTCTCAAAATATCACAGTAACATTTTCTTTCCACTCTTTTTTTTTTTTTTTTTTTTTACTCTTAACATCACTTATTTCTGCCTTCTTCATTAGTAAAAAAATCAAACCCCCAAATGCTACTCCTCATAAGGATAAATTCCTCCTTCTGTATTTGCTCCTGCTGCTCTTACTCACTAGGTCCATGACATTCAAACTCTGATTTGTGCTATATAATTTTAATGAAGGTCTGAATTCTTCATATGTTGCCAGCAACTGGGCTGGACTCAGCCACAGCAAAGCTCCTCCAGATGAGACAAGTTGAATATAATTCAGAGTGCCTGCGGCTCTTCCGCTCCTGTGAGCTCTTCCCTACTGAGTAGTTTGGGAGAAGAAGCTCTTGGAAAAAGTGATTTGGGTTGAAAAGGAACTTAGACAGTGAATTTTCTTTCTTTTTATTAGAAAGAAAGCCCAAAAGAGCTGTACCATCTGCCTGGGCAGGAGAAGAGAGCCAAACAACCAGAATCCGTTGCTGTGGCTTCTAATACCTGGCTGAAAGTGGTAAAGGTGGAGGTGGGCTATAGAGACCTTCTTGATCTGGATCTGAGCAAGACAGGATTTGCTTTTTTCTTTGAGTCTTGGGTTTGGTTTTTTTCTGCAGAAGACACAGAGGGACTGAGGTTTGGGTTTTTGTTTTGTTTGTTTTTTGTTTTTTTTTTTATTGCAAGGGCTCCAGAAAATGTGGCACGGTTCAAGAGACAGGCTGATTGTTTTGCTTGAGTGAACATGAAGAATGACTTAATTCCTGTGTCTTAACAGGAGGAAGATGGTCTGCAGGAGCCTCAGCAGCAGCTGGGGGAGGAGAAGAAAATCGAGCATGCAGAAGCATTGACTGCTGCCTCCTGCACATGGCTGAGCAAAACTGTAAAGGTGAGTCCTGGTTCCAGCAGAGCCCTCAAATAAAATGAGTCTGTGGTGTGTAATTGGCTCCTGTGGTTTGGAGCCAGCCTGCAGATTGATTATCCATCAGTAATGGAGCAGGAAATGAAATCCTCAAGTGTAGGCTGATGGGCTTTAGCAGGCATCTGTGCAGAGGATGAGGATGTCTGGCTTGGTGCTTGGCTGAGAGCTCGGCACGGGGGGAGCCTGGCAGAAGGGTTTTATCTTGGAAAAGCTGCTGGAAATGGCCAGAGGATGGCAGCACCTCCCGGGGCCGCAGCCCCGGCTCCGGGCTGGGGCACAGCCTGGCTCTTGGCTCTCCGGAGGCCTGTTTGGGTGGGAGCTGCTTAGACCTGATCACTGGATGGGTGAGAAACATCTGCTCAGAGTCGGATGGATTCGAGATCTGCCTCTGCCAGGAAACTCTCTTGTCTTGAAGCTGATGGGCTCCTGTTCTTCCTGCTCTTCTCTGTGCTGTGACTCACGTCAGAGCTCTGGAAAATGAAAACCAGATCTGCCATGACACACGTGAAAGGGTTTGAGTGGTTGAGCCGTGTGCGCCAAAGCCAAGTGCTCAGACATACCTGGTATGTTCTTCTCAGGCTTTTCTACAAAAACCAGGAGGGGAAAAGGGTTAAAAGTGGTGACCAAGTCACTGAGCACAGTGACAGGTTTGTGTTTGTACAGATGTGTGTGTACTTCTGCATTCCTGAATGCAAAGAGGCAGAGCTGGGGATGCCTTCCTGGTGTGTTCTCTGGTCTGCGCCTCTAGGCACTGCTGCACTGCATGTAACTGTCAGGTCTCTGGTCACCCCCGTCCTCACCACAAAACCAGGAGGTGTCTTGGAGCTCTGGCTTGTGCTGTTCTGACCAGCAGCTTCAATGTGAAGTGGAGCCCTGGCTTTGTCCTGGCCAGGTACTGGCAGGTTCTTCTGGGCAGCTTGGAAGCTGCAGGGTGGCCAAGTGGCAGTTGAGCTCTGTGGTCCCTGCACAGCCCTGTGCTGCAGCTTGGCTTTCAGTGGGCTGGGGTTTCAGAGCAGTTTGGTTTAAAAAAAAAAAAAAAGCCAAAAGGCACTTCTGGGTTTTACCAAAATCTCAACCCAAGTTACCTGTTGAGCAGGAATATTACAGATGTTCCAGTTAACACGTAGAGCAAAGGCTTCCTCTTCACAGGTAGGTGACCTTTTTGGCTCTCCTGTTTTTTGAACCAGGGATGAAAATGAGTGTGAGCGAAGCATCTGCTCCAGAAAGGTGGCTCTCAGCTCCTCTTTCTGGCTACTTTCCCTTTGCTGTGAAGTTCCTTGCCCAGCATGTGGCCTTGGGGACTCCCCTCTGAACTCAGGGCTTGCACTCGATGGGAGGGCACTGCCGAAATTCCTTAACAGCACCTGAATTCCTTAACTGCTGTGGGGTCTGAGCTGGGACCCAAGCACAGCCTGTTCGTCCTGCTGGTGCCAGAGCTTCGAGGGGCCTGTGGGGGGTGGGACTGCAGGGCTCCGGTGGCCAGCTTGCCCTGGCAAGGCCAGCTCTCCTGCCAGATGGGAAGGTCTGCTTCCTGCTCTCATCAGCGCTCTCTGTGCTTTCAGAAATCCATCCCCACATCCTACTTGGGGATCCCGAAGGGCACAGAGGAATCCAGATCCCCCCAGGTAAACGAAAATAACTATGGGATGGATTTGAACAGCGATGACTCCACAGATGATGAGAATGAACCTCGGAAGCCTGTCCCTGCCTGGGCTGATGGTAAGTGCCAAGTTTGGTTCAGCTTCCTTTAATTCCTTCCTTGGGAAGCTGGAGCTTTCCAGATGCACTGGGTACAATCCCAGCCTCCCTGGAGTGCAGTCCAGGGGTGTGTGAGGCTTCAGCAGTGCAGGCAGCTGCTGGCTCTGAGTGCTGAGGGGAACTGGAGCTGCTTTCCTGACAGTGCTGTTGTGCTGAAGTTAAAACAAAGACCTGCGAGTTCAGATCCAGGGGTGTGGAAAGGATGGTGGGCGCTCACTGGTGCCGAGGCAGGGTGTCCTCCTGGGGAAACCAAGGCTGGTGGGTCTGGGGTATGTCTGGTGTGCTGCGTAACTTCAAACAGCCACTGCTGGCAGCACAGAGATGGGGGTGGGGCTCAAAGCTTTGTGATGAGCAGGAAAACTGTTAATCACACGCACTGTACAGGTAATAACAGTTGTTCAGGCGCAGAAGAGTAACTGTCCTGCAGGCGCTGAGGGAAAGGGCACCTTAAGCAGAGCACTGAAAACTTAATTTATAATGAGTCTGCTTCTCTGACACGGTTGTTTCCATAGGGTCTCAGCTTAATCAAGCCATTTTACACCAATACTATCACCCGGTGAACGTTGACCAACTCTTTGGGCTAATTCCAAGCCCAAAGCTGGAGGATATTTTTGGCAAGAGCAAACCTCGGTACTTCAAGCGCACGAGCTCAGCAGTTTGGCATTCACCACCTGGGGCCAAATCTGCCTGTGGCCCATCTTGCAACTTCAAAAACTGAGAAAACAAAGAAATGTGTTTTATGACAGTGTGGTGGATCAGTTTGTGTGTTCTTAGCATGCAGTGTATTTACAATTTTAAGCCTTTTTTTTTTTTTTTTTTGTACAAAAGTAAAAATATTTAATAAAATCCTGTTGCAATAAACACTCCATTGGTGTTTGTGGTCATCGTGGTGGGATAATGCTGCTGGATGGCTGGTTTGAGATCACTGGCTCTGACTTCTGCGAGTGAAAATGCAGAGACATGTCTGAGACAGGGTACTGCTCCACGGCGTGTTCGCTCGACTGCGGCAGAATCTTACACAGGAAGCTTTGAAATTGCTGTAGAGAAGATCAGATTTTTTAATCGACCTGAGGGGTAATGTTTTCACAACCTGTTCTGTGCTGTATTTATGTATTTAACCAACAGTTTTCCTTCAATAATTCTTACAACCTGTTGTTACTCTGAGCCAGGAACTTTTTCCTACAGTTAGAAAATCCTGCTCGGACAGTTTAAGCAAAGTCTCAATGTCTTGTCACTGTTCTTTTCTGATGGAAAAATGATCTCTGGGTCCTGTTTTTTATAGGAGATGTTAGTGCAAGAGGCAGATTTGCTTGGAAGTCATGGCTCAGGAAGGGTCGGGGTAAGATGATTTCCTCAGGACTGTGTTGGTGTCACCTGCTGAGTGCTCCCTGTCCGTGTGCAGCCAGGGCCCTGCTCAGTGGCAGCCGGCCCCTCCTGGCTCCTGCAGCGTGTCCCCAGCCCGGGGTGGCGGTTTCCTGGCCCCGCTGCAGCACACCAAGGCCTTGGCTGCCTGTACAGCCACTGCAGGGGTAGCCAGCGTGGCCAAGAGCCACTCGGGTCACTAAACCCTGGGGACAGCAGTGAGGAGGAAGATGTTTAGATGAAAAGGGAAAGTCCCCGAGTGGCAGCAGGTCCCACACTCACCGTAATAACCTTTCCTTCCTCTTTCTTCAGTTCTCCCCCCTCGGGCTGCGCTGTCTTGCACAACCGTGAGCGCCGTGGAGGGACTCTGTCCCACCTGAGGTGATGTGATGTGTTGCTCTAGGGTCCCGTGTGTGGGTGCAGCCCTGGGGCTCTGCTCTGTGTGATCAGAGCTGTGAGCCTGTCTTGATGCAGAGGAAGGTCCCTGCCCTGTCCCCAGCATGGCACTGGTGCCATGAGGTCCCCTTCCCCCTGCCCTGCAGGTGCAGGATGCCAAGAGCAAATACAGAAACGTGGCCCTGGACCTGCTCAGAGCTCTCCAGGGCAGCTCACGGCTGTGCAGAGGAGGTTTCAAGCTGGTCAGAGAGGTTTTGTGGAGCTTTGTGCCAGGCTTGGAGGGCTTTGGGGAGGTTAGAAGAGTTTACAAGTGTCTCGGTGGAAGAGTCTTGCAGGCAATTAGAGCTTTTGATGGGTCTGTAGAGCTTTGAGCTCTGGAGAGCTGGTGACAGCAGTTGAGATGAGCTTTGCAGAGGCACAGAGCAGCTCCAAGTGTGTGAACAGAGCTCTGTGACAGCCAAGAGCTGTTTGAAGCTGCTCACCAGGAGCAGCCAGATTGCCCCTGACTCACGGGTTCCCCCCAGCTTTTCTGTTCACCTTGGGCTCCCTCCTTGTCCCACTGAATGGCTGTGGGGTTCTTGGTGACTCTCCCTCTTCTGGCTGGTCTCTCTGGGGTCCCTCTGGGGTTTCAGGGTCCCTCAGTGCTGTTATCCAAAGCAGTAACTCGTCAGGTACAAGACACATTTGATTTTTATTTTTTACTGAATGGGGCTGAGCCTGTTGGAAGGGAGACGTGCTCAGATTCAAAGGATCCCAGCTGCATCCATGGGGAACACTCTTGCCCCTCCTCATCAGTGCCTTGAGTCTGGGGACATGGACAGTGCCTTCCCTGTGGCAGCAGCAACCGCAGGGTCCAGCTGGTCCTACAGTTCAGTGGTGACCTCGGTGCATCCCCATCTCTCTCCTGCTCCCCACCGCTTCCATCCCACCCCGCTGCACCCCACTCCTCCCTCTCACGCAGGGTGCTGCAGAGCTGATTTCAGGCTGTGTGGCAGCACCCTCGCTTTGTCTTTCCTGGCTTTGCCAGGTTTTTGTGGCCTCTGACCCTCCTGGGTTCCTCTGCACTTTCCTGGCTGCTCCAGGCTCCCTTGGTTCAGGTCTCTGGGGCTCTCCTGGATTCACCTGCCCTGTCCTGGTACCTCTGGGGCTCTCTTAGCATCACTCGAGCTCTCTTGGGATCTCCCTGGAGGTTTTTTTGCCCCAGTTTCTCTGAGCTTTCTTGGACTGTCTCAACTTCTCTCATTTGTGGCTTTCTCAGGTGCTTTCAGGGTGGCTGTGACCTCTGAGCTTTCTTAATCTCTGCAGCCTGTGTGGGATGCTCGTGTTCCCCATTTCCCCGGGCTCTCTTGGGCTGTTTCAGGCTCCCCTGGTGTTCTCAGGCTCCCCTGAGCACAGGCTCAGGCTGTTCCCTGCCAGCTGGCTTCTGTCCCTCATGATAATCCTCAAATTACCTCGTTAGACGTCGCCAAGGAAGCAATGATTTCCGGACCCTGGCAGAGGATGGGAGCTGGAGGTGTCTGGCTGCAGGAGGACTGAGGTTTGCTGGCAGGAGGGAACAGGGGATGTCACTCAGCATCGTGGTTGGGGACAGATGGGTTCTGTTTCAGCCCCGTGCTGGCACAAGCAGCGCCCATCAAACCACAGGCCTGATGCTCTGGCCAGGAGCAGGAAGTCCCCATGACAGCCCCAGCTGAAACGGCGGCTGCGGCCAGAGCGTTTCTAGGCCAGGACAGGTCAACAAAAGCTATGAAGCAATTTTGCAGGATGCACAATTGGCTGGGATGAGAAGCTGGCAGAGCCCTGCCAGGCTGTGAAGGGACCACAGCAAGCACCCGTGAGCTGACACCGGTCAAACCTACCAGAGAGGTGCAGAGAGGAGCTGCAGGGCTGGGCACGGCTGCCCTGCCGTGGGGACACCCCAACCAACCCCCTGCTGGCATAGCCACCACGGGTGATGTCCACAAACCGGGCTGGCAGGAGAAGACCCTGTCCTGCCGTTCAGCGAGCTGTGGTGGCACATGGTCATCCCCCGCTGCGGGGAGAAGACCCAGCAGGGCTGGCTGGGGTTTGCTTGTTTTCCCATTTCACCCAGCAAAGAAGAGTGTTTTACCTTAACGTCTTTAATTTACAGCCTGATTTTTCCAAGGCTTGACAAAGCAGGTGGATGGGCGACTGCTTCCCCTCCTCTTGCTGGTTTTCCCTGAAAACAAGGAACAGATGTATCCTAGTCCTACTCCTATTCTATTGCTATCCTAGTTTATTCCTTTCCTATTCTATTCCTACCCTATTCCTTTTCTGTCCTGCTCTGCTCC